ATTCAAGATTAAGAGAGATAAGAATAGCCAGCCAGTAAGACATAAGGCATAGCTTGTGACATAGGGCTTCTTACAGATTTATAGGATTAACTATAAAGAAATATTTGCTCTTACTATTAAAAGAGAGTCCCTTAGAATGTTTCTTGCTATTGTTGCAACAAGAGATATAGAACTATATTAAATAGATATAGTTGTTACTTATCTAGTTAACAAATTAAGAGAAAAAGATAAGTAGATATTTATATAAATCCCTAAAGGAATATCACTTAGGAAAGGGCTAAATAGAGACTAATAAGCGTACAGAATTATTAAGAGCCTATATAGACTCAAGTAATTTATAAGAAAGTAAAGAGAAAAGCTTATAAGCGTCTTAAGAACTAATAGATATAACACGCTAAATAAAGATCTAAGCATACTAATATCTAGTGATAAAAGAATAATTATTAATACGTACATAAATAACCTACTATTAACAGCAGAGAATCTAGAAGCCATTTATTAAATCAAAGCCCTTCTCTAACAGACTTAATACAAAGGACCTAAGAGAAGTAAGAATAATTATAGAGATAAGAATCAGAAAAGACAGAGTTTGCTAATAGCTATAGATTAACTAGACTATTTATCTAAGAGAGATTCTTATTATAGAGGGCATAACAAACTATAATATTATAGTTATACTAATAAAGAGCCTGGCATATTTATAGCCTTAAACGAAGAAGAAGATATAAAAAAGACTAATATTTAGGCATATTAGATGCTAATTAAGAAGTTACTATATCTAATATATAATATAAGGCCAAATATTAGTTTCTGTATTAGTTATTTAAGTTAGTAATACGCAGATTTATATATAAAGCACCTTAAGGCTGCAAGAAAGGTCTTATAATACCTTAAAGAGATACTAAATATAAGTCTTAAATTTAGAGTTAATTATGTTATATAGAACACGTTGTAAGGGAAGCTATAGCTATATAGATATATAAATATTAGTTTTATAAGAGATTTAGATAATAGAAAATTAATAACTAGTTATCTATTCCTATTAAATAATACAGTTATCTCTTAGACGTTTAAAAGATAAAGGACAGTATTAACATCTAGCATAAAAGCAGAGTACCTAGCTATAGAAGTAACAGCAAGGCAGGCTATATAGATTTGACGCCTTCTTAACGAATTCAGTACAGAGCAAGCGATAATAACCCTTTACAGAGACAACAAAGGCTGTTTGAAGCTGATACAGAACCCTAAGCAGCATGATCGAACGAAGCACATTGATATCCAGCATCACTATATGCGGCAGCTGGAAGAAGAAGAAGAAATTCAGACCTCCTAGGTATCAACAAAGGATATGCTCGCTGACAGACTGACCAAGGCACTCCCTAGGGACGCCTTCGTACGATTCCGCACTGAGATAGGCCTTGTTTGAATCAGAGAATGCTAATATAGCACCGTTGGAGAGCGCTGTTGGCACGCGCGCAGGGCAACAGGCGGACTGCAGGCAGGAGTGCAGGAGCAGGCGCGCCGCAGACAGATATTCGGACAGAGGGACAGTGCGAAGCAGCTGCTTGTAACAGCGTAACCTGTTGCTTGTAGTGCGTGCAGCTTGGGCAGCAGGGGGAGTGTTGAATTACTGCCAAGCCGCTAGCATACTAGTGGTCACATAACTTGAGGCTATGTCTGTTTGGGCCTAGCGTCACTTACCAGCCACTGAGTAAGATTGCACTTGAACTTCGGATGGAAGTTGGATTCAACTTCTGAACAGTTCACCATATTAATCAGTTGATTGAGTGCAGACATCCATAGATAGCAGAAGCAGTTTAGCGTTACTTTCAACAATATCTAGTTAAGTAATATTACTTTAGAATAATAAGAAACTTTAAAAATTTATTACTTTATAAAGTTTATCATACACTTAAGCTTATCACTTTAGGCAATAACCTTACAACCTTTAGCTAAGACAGCTTGAAGAGCAAATATACGTGAGTGATAGGGGCCACGAATTGGAACCCAACAACCTAAAGGGCACGAATCTGGGCTCTCCGAGTTAGGAGCGGCCCAGAATCCGGGCCCCTCAGGATAGAATTCAGTCGATGCTCAGGGATGCTCAGGGATGCCCAGGGATGCTCAGGGATGCTCAGGGATGCTCAGGGATGCTCAGGGATGCTCAGGGATGCTCAGGGATGCTCAGGGATGCTCAGGGATGCTAAGGGATGCTCAGGGCTGCTCAGGCTCAGAACAGCCTTGCACAGCCACAGCTCAGGGCTGCTTATTCATCGCTCAGGTTACAGTCACGTATGCTCAGGTCTCGAAGCGGAAATGGAATTTGGAGAGGTCAAGATTCGGTGCAGGTTATTGTGGTATCCTGTACCGAATGTTGACCGCACCTTGGCACCCAGTTTGGTTGGCCGTTTGGCTGCCTGAATCAGGAAATAGTTACCCGGCTTAACGTCGGTTCAGCCTCTGCTCACGCCTCACCGCCACTGCTCCCACGTCGGCATTGACGAAGGCATCAAATAGGCCGCAAGGTGCAGTAGAATGCGCTCGTGTGATTCTAGATATGAGATCTAAGTCCAGTCATTAAGTTGGAACTCCCCTTTTGGCTTAACTGGACCATCACACTCGGAAATTGCACCAGAAATCGACCAATCAAAACAGGGCAATAGACCCATAGCAAGTTCGATAGATCGTGACCCTGCGGAGCGATTCATAACAACACAGTACAGAGACTTTAGGCTCCGATATTAGTTTTGGATGGTTGAAGCTACCAATGCTTATCACTAAAATTCCTCCTACGGCCGTCCGCAGTCTACCATCGCGCTGCTGATTCTCATTGTTAACATCGACTGCCATGCTAGGCTTCGCTGCGTTCTTGATTCTGAATCACAATCTGCTATCCAAAGAGCGCAGTGCCGCAGCTGCTGTGGTCCCTTTTGGTGGCAGAGGCTTTGTAACGCGCACACCGATGTATGGCTGATGGTTGTTTGGCAGTGGGAAGCTGCCTAGGCGGCTCTTGAACTTGAGGTTGTATGTTGCAATTCTGACTCCGAGCCCATCTATGTTCCGTTCCCCAGAACGCCTGTTTTCCAATCGATCCTGCAGATAGTCGATCGCTTGCTCGACAACCTCATCTCAGACGTCTCCCAAACTTTGGCTATACTTCCGCAGTTGAGCGTTGACCTGCTGGGAGGACCTAGTACCAACAGAGCCAGTGGGAACAGAGTCAATGAGTGTAAGTAAGTCGCCTTCATTGATACGATCTCCCCAAGCAATAACCAAACCACCAGCTTCAGTTGCCGCTCGTACGATGTGGCGGTTGGTAACTTCTGGCATGGTTAGACTTGGGTAGAAGAATGAAGGTTGGGGTGAGGTGTCTCAGACGAAGTTCGAGTTATCCCCCAGGGGAGAAGAGATGATGAGGAAGACTCCACTTCTTGTGTAAATAAGAGCTGGAGAAGACGACAGTCACCATCATGCAACTACCAATTCGGCGATGGCCAAGCAATCAAAGAGCTCAGTTAGTCAGCCCGTACATTGACCAGTGTGGCCTCCGTGAAGAGGCAAGACTAGCGAAGGTTTACCCAGCTACATTGGCCAGGCACATGTATCACTAGAATCCTTATCCAGCACTAAATCATGAACCCAGATTTAAGCCATATGCATTGGCAGATAGGCGGCTATTACCGACTCAGCTGAGCAGACTTTGGCTGGTTTCGCCTCTTCAGGGACGCCACATTGGTTGATACAGTCTAGACTGGACTGGACTGGACTGATTTCATTTACCATGACCCCTCCCGTTTTGGGTTATACAGGCTACCACAACTATGGTTGAGCTATTATAATCCTCTGTGATATATTCTTCGCGCGCGAGTTGTGTGCCTCATCGGGCCTGTGGCTGCTTTCCTTGTAGCGCTGCCTCTTCGCATCATGCTGTAGAATCTCACTTCACATCTTCCTGGCCGAGCTAATTGTCTCCGCCATGTCTGCCCTGACCCTTATCTCTTTTCCTTATTTGTGATGTTCCTGTTGGGGTGTGATCCGGTCAACACAGGAAGACTGTTCAGTGTAGTGTGTCTCTGCTGTATGTCGAGGGTATGTTGTATCCAACTGTGCAATAGAGCTTATACTAGCAAGATGTACGTCGTCGTCAAAATATTGTGTTTTCTTCTCTGTTTTGCTTGGTTGTCGACGTCGTACGGAGTCGTGCATCAAAAGTAGTCAAACCACGCTAATATCAAGGTTCTACTAAAGAGGACTAATGTCGACTAGCTTAAGATGGTGCTTAATCGTGCAGCTATCTTAGCCTAAAGAAAGTCTAGAGACGCCCCTAAAGCTTGAGGACTCTCTAGGCTTTTTCTTTAAGTGATTGACTTTTGTTACAGGGCCCTTAGTGCTGAGGGGACGCTTTCTGGGTCCATATGGGTTGGGCAGGAGGAGTATGGGCGGGTAGAAGATAGAAAACCGTGTATGGGACTTAGTCTTGCCCCTGCTAGTAGAACATGAGAGAAACGGAAGAATCATTACTGGAGATCAGACACGAACTCGTTGGATTAGTCAATTTGGGGGTTTATCTTGCGATGGAGGCCCCTTGATGGGAACAGCCAAACTGTTGAATGGCATGCGTATGATTTATGATTGTGGAGTAAGTAGTAGTAGATGATGAAGCTAAGTTCTACGTACAAGTTGGGATGAGATAAATAGCAAGTAGTGCCAAGCCCGCGCCAGCCAAGTGCTCCTGCTATGCCCCTCCTATGCTCCTGCTAAGCAAATGCAACACAAACGCCCCACAGATGACAGATAAAATGAAAGACCAGACGCCCCAAAAATGTGTACATGAATACTAGAACTCCGACAACGCAAACCAACTAAGCTGCCAATCTTTCTAATTCAAGCAGTACAATCCCCGGATCACATTCATCCCGTGTAGGCGACTTAAACAAAAAGTTCCCGGAGAACCGCATGCGGATACTGCCACGAATAACAGTAGTCTTCTTCTTTCCCGATCAAGCGCTACTGTAACCGCTGTCTGGAGTGCCCAAAGTGGAGTTAAGGGTCGGGCGCGCCGTGGCCGTGCCCTTGTTGGGGGGTGTTTCCGGCAAAGTGGTCTTGTGATCGGTGGTTGGGGTGGCTGGTCGTGGTGAAGGACAAGGAGACGAGGATCGGCTCGGCAAGGGGGTTGAGGATAGTGAAAGTTGGGTTTCTTCAATGTCGATGCTGATACCGATCTTTGGAGTGGGCTTGAACTGCAGTGTTGTGTGCACCAGTTCAGGGCCGAGAGAAGGTGTTGTTAGTGTTGGTATTGGTGCTGGTGCTGCTGGTGCTGGTGCTGGTGTTGCGGGTGCTGGTGCTGGTGCTGGTGCTGGTGCTGGTGCTGGTGCCAGTCTTTCCGGGCAAGAGGGCGCGCACATCAGCCTAGATGTCGTTGTCGTGGCCGTGATCGTGATAGTGGTTGTGGTCGTTATCGTTGAGAGTCCTGGCTCCTCCATCCTACACCACGTATCCCAGGCATCGATGCCTAGCGTATTTTGCATATGCGCTTCCCAATACCTCTTCAACAGCTTCTTCCACTTTTCCGTCAATATAAGACATTGACCGTCATGGGGTGTCTTAAGTAGGGTCGTCTTCGATCGGGCCGTCCTTGATCGGGCAGTCCTTGATCGGGTCGTCACATATGGGGTCAGCTCATACTCGGCCTTCTCACTCATCCACACACTCCACCTTTCCACAACCTTCTTAGCCTCCGCTACACTAATCTCAAACCATTCGACATGCAGCTGCTTACACTTACATCCCTCCTGAACTCTCCTCACATGTCTCAATTCCTCTTGGACCAATTTCTCGACCAACCAAGCATGTTGGGTCTTAATCGGGTAATTTTCCAATTTTGCTAGGTAGCCGCACTGAGTACTCCAGTCTTTGACACGTTTCGGGATAGGATTTGTAGTAAGGCCGATCTTGACGACGTGAGGCTCAAAAGGGCGTGTGTAGATGTAGATCCAGCCGTCGTTCTTGGGATTTGGCGGCAGCGGTTTGCCCAGGAGATCAAGAACGGAGCTTAGCCGTGCAGATGGGGTGACAGCAGACAGTTCGAGCCAATAGGGAAGGTATACGGTGTTGAGTGACGCGGTTTGAGACCGGGTTACGGGCCTGTGCGACGATTGTGGTTCTGGGTCTAGAGCTGCGTCGAATACGTTTTTCGATTGCGAGGGAAGGGGGCTGTCCATTTTTATAGACTCTTCGTGATTATCCTCTTTTGGGCCTTCCTTTATGTTGGCTGGAATTCGCGAACTGCCATACAAAGTACCATTTCCACCCTTGATGGCTTCAGAAGTGACACTGTCGTCCGTCGGACGTTTTGCTTGTGTAGAGTCTAAACCTGCGGATGCCGAAGTGCTTGCATTGTCATCTTCCAGATCGATTGAGATGTGCTCTTCGTGCTCTTCGTGCTCTTCTTGCTCGACGTGCTCGACGTGCCGCACTGCATGTTCAATTTCCTCAACGATAGCCGTTTCTTGTTCAAGCCGTGTTCGGGTCGATACCTCATCATGAATTTCCTGGGTCCATATGTCGACTGCTTTAGCGCTGCGTGGTTGTTTGCGATGCTGACCCCTACATAAAGAATGATCCGCAAAGTTCTTAAGTCGTCCTTCTAGAGATCCGTCTTTCGAAGACGCGAGGCCTCTTATTTCCTTGGATATATTTATGGCCTTCTCCCTATCCGGTCCACTGATGGTGTTGCCGCACCGTTGGTTGACGCCTTTCTTTGTAATGATATAACGAACACAATTGAAAAATTTATCATCAGGGGATATATCATAGAATGGGATTACTATGATGGCCTTTTTGTGCGAAGGTTTGCTGTGCAACTTTGAAGACACAGTTTCTGGCATGACTTATTCTCGGCCCTTGAAACAAAAAGACGGGGATATAAACGAATGACTTCAAGAAAATTGACACATATAATGACCCAACGACAAAGATATCTAGACATTCACTTTATAATTAATGTTTCCCCATGAGTTGGTACATCTCACCACCTGATACTAGGGCCCACCATTATGCGAAGGTACATCTATCAGCCCTCCTAGAAGCGAGGCTATGCACGACGAATGCTACCAAAAATAAAGTCCTGTGCCGCATGAATGCATAAGAGCAAGTCGAAGTGTGTAATACGTATGGTGCCTGGTGCCTGGCGCCAGCTTAGTCCGAGGAAGAAAGGCTTGGGAAAGCACATCTTTGACGAGCTCCGCCCCAATCACGCCACAGGGCGCAGGACTCCATCCTGAGTGACGCGGAATAATCGATAACCATTACGGGATCATCTCGTCTGATAGGCCTCCCCCTGGAGCGTGCATAAGACGAAGAATGATCGAGGGTTGTATTAATGCTGTGCGTGAATGTGTCTAGTGGGTATGGATGAGGATCCATCTTTGTGGTACCACATGCTTGCAGATGTACCCTCCTGTCAACCGCGTTTCATACGCGTTATTCCTGCGTTTTTTTGCGTTTTGATTGGTCAATTTTGTCAGAATCCCTGCGCATACGATACGTATCTGTTACGTATTAGCAGGATGATACAGGGGTCCCCGCATGCGAAACGCACGAAACGCTCTTGTAACTTTTACGCCCTGTTATTTATGGCAGTGAGCATTGCTATACGAATTGAACGCCAAATGCTGTTTCTGAGCTGTTGCAGTAATGCGCTTCTATAGCTATTAGTGTGAGCAAATGCTCCTCTTGATAGGAGTAACTCAATCAATTCAATTGGTATCTCCGTACGCTATTTGCTACATCCTCTAACAAATTTCTGCCGCAATTTCGCTGTGTCGTACAGCAAATTTGTACTTTTTTCTGCGCCCTGCGCAGCTTTTTTGAACGAACAGAGCCATTTCTTCCTCCTGCTCCACACCTCCCGAGGCTTAGCTCCATTTGTAGCACTGAGACTGAGATTGTGTGGCAATCTCCGAAGAACTATCACAGTAAGATCCTTCCCCCTCATCTACAGCCTTGTGAGTACACGTGGACGGTTGCCTAATAGACGGTTAATAGATTGCCCCGCAGGCTACAAAACTGACCCAACAGGGCGGTTCAGGTCTGACAGACCCTGTAAACTGTTTCACAACAAGTTGAGTCAGTTTTACAGCAAAATATGTGTTCAGAGCTGGGAGCCTAACAAGAGTAAGCAGATAAGTAATACTTTCGCTCCAGCCGTTTGCAGAACGATACAGAACTTTGCAGCATCTTCTTCTATTAAAGTCTATATTAACAGCTCTCAAAGAGTAATTACTTCGTAGTACTGTGTTTGTAGTTATCCAGCTGGCTTAAAATGCCTATTTTTTGAGTAAACTCTCAATTGAGATTTTAGGCTTGATGTCGCGATGTATAATATCATGGCGGTGAAGGTGGGCCAGTTCTTGCACAACCTGATGGAACGCTCGCAGTCGTACCTCATATGGAGATGTAGAAACAGTAAGGTCGACAAACGTCTTCTGCGCCAGAGGGGAATGTATGAGGTAGACATCATTGACGCTCGACTCCCTGTCTAGGATTCATCTCCGCCGGCATATAATCGACAAGAAGCTGGCAAAGGTTCGTGTCAGACGCTATTTCTACGCGCTACCCCGGCCTTTTGCTTGCTTTTGATTGGTCAATTTCTGCCGCAATTCCGCTGCTAATTCCGCTACAACTTGTACTTATTTCTGCGCGCCCTGCATCTTTTTTGAGAGAGAACAGAGCCATTTCTTCTACCTGTTCAACAGTTCGGCTATATGAATAAGGGAGGCTGAGCGGAAAGCAGGTATTAAGACGATTTACGTGTGCGCCTATCTCCCTGTAGATCTTGACTTCAAGCTGAATTCTCATTACTGAGGCTAGCCATTAGCCAATCATCATCATTGTTTTCATCACAATTTCTCCTAAAGCTCGACCTGCACTCTCAACTTCCAAACGCAGCAGTCAGTTATACTCCCAGCCATCCGTCTGTCGACAAACACCTCTCTTACAACCTTCGCAGAAGTCTACCTTATGCGGCATGCCTCTTTTTTCGGTGTAGTTTTGCTGCTTCACTGGGACGCCCGCCCACTTCTGGATCCTGTATGCGACTCGGTCGACATATGATTTCTCGTTCAAAGTCAGGGTGCCTAGCTAATTGCATGCTTTGCAACGCTGATTGAACATTTCAGCGTTGTACCCATTCTCGGCGTAACCCCTTATCAGTATAGCCACCTTCTTGCTGCCCCAGCCATTCGTAGAACAGGCACCGTTCATGCATCTGAACTTGCCCATGACGTGGGTCGAGTATACGTTGTTGCATTCTTCATCGCTATTGTTTCACAAAACCATATGGAGTCGATTCTCTCGGAGACTGCTTCGACGACGTCCTGATGGAGCAACGGAAACATGAAGGACGCTCTCGTCTCTCCCTTGGGTTTGGAGAACTTCTTCTTCTTCACCATTTTGGATACTGGAGCAATCGTGCCCACGTATTGCGGTAAGGATGCTGATGGAACCAGAATACAAAAATGTCCAAATTCTGAAGATGGCTTCGCTGGCAGGTGAAGCGTTTCACGATGCAGGTGAGCTGCAGGGATGGCTTTGCTACCAATTGCATGACAACACGTCTGCGGCAGGTCTGGGTCGCGAAACTGTTAAGTCATAGCCCATGTGGCCTGTGACTCAACCCATATATCTCTTCTATTCTATTTGATAAAATATCACGCCGCTCTACGAGTGAAGCCATGAAAAACACGATCTCGCTGTCCTGGTCCCGTGGACCACAATAAGTTGGGAAGCGCAAAGTCTTTCAATACATACCTATACAGCCATGGTGAGGGAAAACCAGATAACAGTAGATCAAAGGGACGATCCCTTTTTTGCATTCCCTCTACAGTCGACGCTTTCCTTCCGATACTAATCTATTCCAGCGTTGTCGCTCGAACAAGCTTCACAAAGCTGAATGGTGCGAGCGAAGATTTGCGTGCAGTTGTACCCTGCCGGAGGATATTAAGGAGAAGTCCTACGAAGATCCCTCGGCGCAAACGCAGAATAACTGTGATGGTCACCTCTTCGTTCCTTCAGAGGTGATAGAGAAGGAAATAAAAGCCAAAAACTCAAAAACTAAACAGGTAGCTTTAGCTTACACTTGTAGTTACAGGCATCGATCGGAACGAAAAAGATACTAGTAGCCATACTGACTTCTTTTTGGGGTTAGTACCTACATTTCGGCTGTCAAAACCCTACGCTAGCGAACGAAGCATTGACCATGTAAGGTGGATCGAGGTTACATAATTGAATATAAGCCAATCAGAAGGCCACAGGGTCAACGGACAAAAGACGAGTGAGCCACGTTGCGAACTACAGAGCTTGACCTGCTTGTGCTTGTGGCAGTAGTCATTGTTACAGAGCACGCATCTGTGCGTCATTTTCTTGACAGTATGACACCATAATGGCTTCCACCAATTGCATTTGAAGGCAAATAAAACATGTGCTGTCTGACTTGGCAGCGTATTTCTGAAGCTGACACAGACGGGATGATTCTGGGAGCAATGCCATGATTATCTTGCCTGGCGCTAAAATTTGAGAATGCGAAGCTGCTTACATGTACTTTTGCTCTCTGTCTTTTAATGATTGATGGTATTCAACTCTGAATATTTACGTAGCACATGATACGAGCACGATAGTCATGGTATCAATATGTGTGACCTTCTGCGGAGAGGGAAGAACTTGAATTATTCTATCTATTACGAGACATCGTGCAAACTGACTGTACGGTACTATGAAATTAGCTGTGAAATTGCAGTAGAAAATCAAAACGCAGGATTACGCAAAGAAAAACTGGCCAATGAACGCTTATACAGTCTGACAGATAGAACAGGATATTCGTGGTCATGTCTGGTCATATTTGACTTATGTTCGACCATTGCTCATCCGTAACCACTTCTGACCATCGGTCAAGCCGAAGAGGTAGTCAATCCTAATCACTTCCAACCAGTACTATGTCCGATAGTATCCCAATATACAGTTCATCTGAACTATCATAGCGTCCCTGCAAGTGGCTAAAGGGTTGGATAGTTGTGATCGGTGTTCGTCCTGTCTTTTTGACCAATCCTCCAGGGTCTGGTCATGTGCCGTAACAAGTGAAACATACTCAATTATATTGCTAAAATCAGAAGAACGAAAGAGAGAGAGAGGAATAACATCGAATATATCTTTGAAGCTTAACTAAATTATGCATTTTAAATAAAGAATTGATTGAATGTGTAAAGCAGATCTCCACGATCGTTTCCCTATGGATTATTACATGTTTTTTGAGAGCTTTTTGGTCTTGACGCAGGTAATCTCAAGGGTTCTTTGATTCTGCTCCAATCAAACCTCTGCGTGGACTGCGGTTTTCATCAGAAATCTCATCATTTGATGGCAGAAATATAGTTGAACTATGGCTATGTTACGTCTTAATGCAATGAAATGATTGTCCTAATCCCCAGCGGCACTCAAAAGCTTCCATACCTCTTCTCCTGATGAGCACCCAACAAAGGTCGATATCACCTATCAAGGCTTAACATCATCCTGCAGCTTAAGACATCACTAGGATGACGCGAAGCCGAAACCTGGGATGTGCTTGGACATTCCTGTGTCCCATCTGGAGAAGCCCATCAACCTACATAGATCTCGACCAGCTAGAAAGACAAATGAGTGCTGAGATGACTAGCCTTTGAGCCAATATCTGAGCGCGGTAGTGAATTGCTTTTTGAAGCGCGACTTTGTTGTTCCTCGCTTATTAAACTGATATCAAGAAATTAGTGTCAAGAGAAACTTTTGAATTAACTCCAGTAGTGGAGATTGTACCAATTTAGAAGAAGACAGCAAAAATCCACCTGCATCTTATTACATTTTGTGATCAATTCGAGCCACCCAACCCTTATAGCAAACGTCGAGGTGTGAATGGTCACTGTCCTGATGGTCTTCCTGCTCGTGGGATGAATGCGTAGTGCCATCATCAGGGGCAGAAGGATGATCGATTATCTTGAAGCCAAACGCCTTCAGCCCACTCATTGACGCTGTGTCGGTGATAGGGCCTCCTTGGAGAACCCAGAAATCTTTCTGCCGTTTCCATTTCAAACCGTTTTCCTGAAGCAAGAGTTCTGCATCGTCTTGCTTGGCGTCTCTGAGGAGTCTTAGGGCACGCTCGGCAATGGTGAGTTGAGCTGGGGGCTCTGGTTCGTCGACAAGGGAGGAAGGAAATTTGTATCCAACAGCGTCTTCGCTGCCTGCTTGAACAGGAAGTTCAGCCAATCGAGGGGAAACAAGGTCGGAAAAGACCATCAAAGCTTCGTCGTACTTGCCACGCTGGCGAAGTACGTCAGCAAGAGTGATGCGAACCCATAAAAGTTCGCGATTGTTCTTGTTCCTTCCTTGGCCAGATGCTTCGTCTAGTAGTCTCTGCAAAACGGTTTTCGGCTTCGTGTAGAAGCCTGCTTCAAGATTAATGAGGGCTCGAATGTGCTTTTCTTGACACTCCCGCTCAAACTCATCCTTCAGACCGGCTGAGTCTTGAACAAGACCCAAATACTCGAGACCATCCTTGCCGCGTTCGTTTTCATAGTAGAGAGCCGCAAGCTGAAGCACTGAGTCAACGTAAGTCACGTTCTCTGTTGTGAACAGGCGCTTGCGAGCTGTCAGTGAGCCTAGGAGAGCCTCTTCGGCTTCGGCAAAACAACCGAGTTTGCGGCACACCGATCCGAAAGCCGTTTTCAGCATAAGGGAGAACGGGTGAGCAGGGCCTCCAATGGGGATCCAAAGCTTCAAAGTATTATCGTAGACATCATAGGCTTCGCGAAGGCTCCTTCCACGTTCCAAGGCCTGTCCCCTGAATAATTCCGTCTGCAATGTCAAGAAATACTTATCACCAGACAATCTGCGAAAGCCATCGGCCGCTTCCGTGAGTGTGGAGATAGCCTGCTGAAATTTCGTAACGCAAATCTGTGCAAGACCAAGCAATTGGAGAGTGATGAAGATATCAGGGACATCTTCGCTGACGACCTCTTGTTGTATACGCGCAACTTCTTCGAAGCCTCTCTCCGCTTCATCAAAGCGCTTCTGGAAGAAGAACTCCTTGAAAAATTCGGTCTTTGCCCGCAGAGTGAGTGGGCTGCGAGTGCCCAAAGCTGCCTCAAATCCTTCTGCGACGGTCATTTTGTATTGGTACGCTTTCTGGAAATCTGCATTCGTTTTCCCTCCTACATTGAAATACTGTCCCAGCCGAATAAGGGGCAGATACGGAAGAATAATATCCTCGCCTTCCCTCATGAACTCGTTGGAGAGCGATTCATGCGCTCTAACGAAGAAACTATTGATGGGAATTTTCTCTTTGGTCTCATCAGGAAGTCTACCAAACCATTCCCGTACATCAGATTGCACCTGGATCTGGGAACCGATGGTAGACCTCGACTTGATTTGAAATAGAGTCTCCGACCAAGTAACGAACTCGTTTCCAAGCAGGAACCGGGAGAGCATAGCCAGGAGCTCGTCTGACGGGTTTCGAAGTGCAGTAACATGATCCTGCCAATGAAGGCAGGCGTATCTGTATGGAATTGACTCCTTCGTAGTTGGTTCCAGACCCACTTCGAGAGCGACCCCAGCGAGCAGGTTCATGCGGAGCAGTCTCGCAGGGTAGCTTCTGAGTCTATACTGGCTCTGGCTCAACTTACTCAGGCACTTGCGAGCAAGAAATGCATCCGAGTCCTCTTGAGCCACCACGAACTTGAGTAGAAAGTCTTTGGCGGACGTATGAACAAACTGTACCTGGCCCTTGACAATTGTGACCAAAGGCTCACATAGCCTCAACACCTCCCTAGTGGGATTACTAAACAGCTCGTCCTCATCGACGCAGTGGGTCTTCGTGTTCAAAGCTAGTGTTGTAGAAATGTCTTCGGGGGTGAGTGGCCCGCCGATTAATAAGAGAAATATAGAATGCCGAGTAATCTTATCTCTTTCATGAAGCTTCCTGGCAGTCTCTTCCATATTTCGCTGATAATAATCGTCAAGTGCAGTAGGGGCTTTGTCAAGTCTCACGCGTATTTCGCTGACTGTTCCCGCTGTTTTAATGTCATCCATTACAAGCCTTGCCAGTAAAAACATGCCCTGACTACATGATGAGATTTTACTAGCAATATGCGGCTTGACTTTCAAGAGGCCTGGATTTGAGACTCCATTCCTTTCAATTTTCCCCTCGACGAATAGCCTAATGTCACTCTCGACAACGCTGCCCTCCATTGAAATTAGTATTGCGTTAGTGAAGACATTTTGACGGAATTTGCCGGCGCGGGTTAAGAGGATGACTTGGGTGTTAGACCTCGACCCAAGGTCACCAAGATACCCGAGGATACGGTCACAATCTTCTGGATCCGTGCACTCATCCAGAGCATCAACAATCAGCGTAAAGCTAGAGACTAAAGTGAGAGCGTCATCGAGAACTGCCAAAAGCATATCTGCGGGGCATTCAAGCCCAGAATTGAAATGGCTGACAAGCGGCGAAGCCTTCTCAATAAAAAAAGGAAAGCGATCGCTCCGTTGGATTTCGTACTTGGAAAGTAGCTGTGAGAGGAGACTAACAGCAAAGTAGGCCGTTGCTGCCAAGGTACGGCGCCGCGAGCAATAGAAGAAATGTGTCAGGACGACATCAGTTGAGGCGCATGCTGCTAGGTACGTTGCCAGAACCGATTTACCGCAGCCTGCTGCATTTAGTTCACCGAATGAGATTCCAAAATGATCTTTGGACTGACCGGCTTTGCCTTGAATCCAGAGCACACCCTGGTTTTGGGTCTGCACCCACCGATTATATTCAGCGGAGCGGTGTACCCACTCACACGTACCAGGCTCTCTCTCAGCGGCAATTTCTGCCTTCGTCGAATTCTCCTGCAGCCACGCGGAGATGCTGTCGCATCCGCGTGCTAAGTGGTAGGTTAACCACATTTTCAATGGAAGACATTTTAGCCAATCAACACAGCTCACTGCAGAGACCTACCTCTTCTCTGAGCATCGTCAACGGCTGACGCATCCAAACACATCTGTGGTAGAGCTATAAGGCATCAAATACAGCCCAACCACATGAGCGATTTATTGATACCTTTCGCGACAACATTCACGTTCTCATCTATGCTCGCAAGTCTGGCGTTTGTTCTACTAGACGAACCTCGTTGGGCTTTGCTCACGAATCAACGAATGCCTAGCCTCACGTAGAGTAAACCAACCAGCGCGGAACGCCCCTTGCTTCGCGAATTCCAGTGACACCGATGTGACTAATGCGTTGTGGTCTGGGGTAAGTATGTAAGCAGGACTGTCAGTTGCATCGTGTTGGGAGGGGGGACGTAGCACCTCGCTGCAATTCAGCTTGCGCTGGTCCTTGTCAGCTCCGTCTGGTGAACGAGGTGTATCTGGCAAGACCGACCTTGGCCGTTTGCTGCTCGAATTTCCTGTGCCAGAATCTCCTCTTCCTTTTCGAGCTCATTGAGACATCGATCAAGCTTGCTGTTGGGGACTGCGTTAAAAGCGCGACGGATGGGCGGCTTGTCTAGGAATGCTCTAGCGTTGACTAGGAAGCATATTGCTTTTGCAAAGATGGCCGCTGTGGCTTTCACTACACCGGGGAACTTCGCATAGAGCTTAAGTCCATGCAGGAGTCGCGGAACCGAGGAAGCGATCCTTTCTAGCCCCTGCCAGATCTCGGGGCCGGCTCTAGATTCCGCAGCTAGCAGCTGATTGCATTGCTCGAAAGTCAGCGGCACGAACCTACCGGGAAGTACCGATACATGGCCTTAAAAGTTCGTCCTCGTGCTCATGCTCAGGTCACAAATGTTTAGAATGTTGACTATTGTGCAAATTGAGTGGACATGCTCTGGTACTAACCTGAATCACAAAGCGCATAGGTCCCCACACGAGTACGGCTATAAATGACTGCTGTTGTACCATCACATCAAACACGGGCGCAAATTTGTGGACAGTCTGAAGCGCCTCCCCCAGTCGTTTGAAGCGGGGTCGCCGGGTATCGAACGTCTTTCTGTAGGCTTCCCGATTGGCCCTAATCAGTTCCTCCAGGCCATCACAAGGCTGTGTGGCATTCTTCCAACTCCCCCGCGGGATTATCTTCTCTTTGTCGTTGGTCAATTTCTCATTGAAGATCTTCGTCGCATCCAGACACGTCAGCCTCCTCACCCGCACTCGTCCTCACCAAGATCCGAATGGAATATTGGATCACTCACATCAACTGCTTCTTCCCAGCAGGCTTCTTCAACTGTACTGCTGCTATCCATCCCGAATCTGGCTGATGGGTAGTAGACTCTATCACACGGCTCTGATTTAGGATGAGTTACATGACTTCCTTTTATATGATGGCATAGAATGCCATCTTCAGCCATCGGACTGGCTCTTCATGTACTTCGCTTTGTATTCATTGCGTGCCTCACCATCATATGCATGTGTACCCTAACGCTTGGGCTTCCATACTCTCTTCTCTCCAATGCTTGCCGAGCCTAGTACTCCCTACAGTAGGCCGCCGGTAGCAAGGCGGCCAGTGACGCTGCGACCAGCATTACCTTCGCCAGCACTCCCAGGGTGTCCATCCGCAGCTGATTCTTCTATTCTAGTCCTCTCATTCCACCCTCTGCCGCACCCATTCACCGTATTTAGATTTCGCTGCCTGTCGCTGCCCAACTGCCAGTATCATTTACATCCACGAACCTCTTCAGTTTTTGCCCACCCTAGCCTATTTGCCGAAGGCTTGACTCACTACGCCATCTCTAGGCTTGACCACCGAGGGCTGATGACTTATTTAAGCGTATGGATCTCACAAAGGTTACCGACCGCCTATATGTATCTGCCTGTATCTTACCAAGCAGGAGATTTCTGGGATAAATCCTTGACTGTATGTGTTTGTATCACCCTATCATCGGAGCAACATGTGAAAGAAATTGATCAACGCTGACACTGCGGCGAAAATGTCAGGCTCAACATCGTTGTCGGTATCTCGACTCGACATGGGCGGCTTTAACTGTGGCATCAAAATAGTGCCCGGCCAACCAAAGTCGGCTTGGACATGTCCATGTGGTCTGGGATACTGGGATGCCGTCAAGAGTGAATTCATCACCGGCGACCGTGTCCGGAGACGCGAGGCTCTAAATCGGGCGGACTATGAAGCCCATCTACGAGAATGTTCGCAATGCCACGCGCAGGCTCAACAAGATGGTCTTACCTCAGTTTCTAGCCAAGAGGAAGGCCAGGAAACGCAATCGGGCGCTCGTACACGACCGTCGACGAAAACTTCGGATAGTCGCATCAGTCACCCAATTCCTGCGAGACAACGCCAATATTTTCTTCCGATGGACCGCATACGTCCCGAAGTCATTCAGGGATCCATCAAGACATACCTGGGTGCTGATGCTTCCGTCAAGCTTTCAACTAATCGGGTGTGTTTCCAACTTATCCACGTTTTCAGGCAGGGAACCCTGCTAATGGACTGGTGCAGGACGGTACACCTGGCTATATCATACATTCGAACAATCCCCCCACAGTGGTGCGTCTCCAAAATTGGCACTCTGCTTTCGTTCCCACTCTAACATCGTCTTAGGAGATAATATCCGAGCTTATGCGACTGTCCCTACCTCCGGAGACTGCTGCGCCTGTTGCCAGTGGGCATGGCCAAAGACCGCCATTAATTGACCGAACCGAACCGCGGTATGATAAGCGCGGCTTGAATCCATACACTGCACTGGATCCGAATACCTACCCACAGGTGGATCGGGGCTCAAGTCAACAGCCAGAGACAAGAATACATCAACAACTAGAAAGGATGTCGTTGCAGCAGTCAGACCCTCGATCACATCATCACCAAGAGCCTCCATCATATCAGCACCAAGATCCAAGATCACAGCAACCACCACAAGATCTAGGGGCTTATCCACATACACAAGATTCGAGAACGGCTTATACCGACCCCCGTACCGGCCAAACATTGTACCAACCGTCACGAGATCCAGAGGTTCGGCCTTATCCACGAGATCACGAAACGCCTTCGACCGAACATTGGGTTGACCCAACACTACACCGAACACCGCAAGATCCAAGGACGTATCCGTACTCACAAGAGCCAAGAACTACTCAACCGAGCGTTCCCCGGCAAGATCCGCATTATAATGCAGAGACTCGGGTTAGCGGAGCGCGGGAACGGAGAGACGATAGGCAGGGCTTACAAGATCAAAGAGCAGCCGAAAATGATCCAAGACAACGGAGGGACGGAAGGCGATCTGCACATGATCAAAGGGAAGGTAAAGACAAGACCCGAAGGTATCGACGGTGACCAAAGTCTTTCAACATTTTTAGCCCTAAGCGGCGTTGGCAAACTCGTCGCACAACCGGTAGCGAGCCATGTATCAGCAGCCCAGATGTTCCATCCTCGATGAACGGCATCGGGACAATGACATTAGAGGGAGAAGTGCATGTGCAGAGCCATAGTCGGCTGGCCGGCCTTCCGTGCCATGTCAAGTGCTACGGCTAAGCACGAACCGCAGTTATCGACATTGTCGGGCACGACTCATGAAGACATCTCAGGCACGGGGACGTCGGCCTGAAGATGATCCGCTGTGGTGCCACATTCTCAACATTGGACGTGTGTGTATTATTATCGATCAGAGGATGTGTGGGGTGGCTTTGATTGTGTTTGATCGGCGCTGAAAGGCTGGGATCACATGACCAGTTGTGGACTTAGTCCATTGTACACTAAAGTCATCAGGAAAAGTCTATTCGGGGTTTTCTGCATTTCTATAACCAAGGATGCGAAGAGCAAACTTCGCTTACAAGACACTACTACATACCCAGCGGACTCTCAGACGGTTTCGTACCTTACATTTACTATTGTCTAAAAAATCCAAAGAACCATTTAACAGCCATAGTGTTCACACGCTTATCGCAACTCATAGCATGCTTCGACAATCACTTGAAGACCAAGTTCCAGGCCAGTTTGAGGAGTATCGAAGCAAGCTCCACCCCCCCTTCCCCAAGCATCAAGCCACTCGCGATCAGTATGATAACGTCCTCCTCGCCCCTGTAGTACCTGGACCAACACCAATGGACAAGACCTCCGATCACCCATCCCGCCGTCAAGCTCCACACATTGAACATTCCTGGCGCACTTATCAATTCTAGCCGGGACAAAACAAAGCAGAAGCCCGGAGCGACAGGGTGGTTTGATACACTCACCTAACGCAAACGAAACACCATCTGGGATTAGACAACCCCACCACGCCTCTGCAAACCCGATCTTCACAGCAGCTATTATGGTGAAAACTAGCGCCATCACGATAGAAACCCCTACAGCCTCTTCGGGCAGCCCCTTACCGGCACAAAGCTTAGCCGCCTCGAACCACATGTGAGCAGACGGCATGTCGACGGGCGCGGCTACAGTGCCGGGATTCGGGAGGTAGGACCAGGTGAAAAGTGCGTAGGAACTGCTGGCTACAAATGCTCCGACTAGTGATCCTACCAGTTGGCCCTTGAGCAGATCGTCGGGTGAGGCTTTAAGGAGAGACCCTGCTTTAAGGTCGCACATCAGGTCCGCGGCCTGGCATGCGCCGGACTCGGCGATTGCTCCAGCAATCAGATTGACAATGATAGCATTCGAACTTGTGCGGGCAACAATTAATCCAAATGCTATTTGAGCTACCTTGCCTGGACAAAGCTGTCAGCAATCTAGAAGCTGGCTGACATTTGTTGGAGGAGACTAAACGTACCCAGAGCAGACACTGGATTCATGCCAGTCTGTCCCATTGCTTGTATGGCTACGATGCTAAGGGGAAGAGCGAGTAAGACAACGAGAAGTAACTGGATCCATGTCGCAGACTCGGCAAGGGAGAGTTTGGCAGAGGCGATACACAAAAGCGTGGCCAAAGCGAGACAAAGACCAATCTGCTTTGAAGATATACCGGAGTACACGGAATTTCGTGTTTCTATTGCACGTTCTGTCACGGCAGGGCGATCTTCAACGCTACTTGCTGAGCTTGTGATATTGGGCGACCCTGCATTGGAGTGTTGTGGTAAGGCAGTGTCTCCCAAACAAGGTGAGGTTGCAGTGCCTCGAAAAACGGAAAGGATCGAACGCTTCGTGCACGCCCAGACAAAATTGACCAGACAATGTGCAAGCAACGCTGCCAGACTTGGCCATACTATCCAGCCTCTGAAACCGTCCCAGTCATCGTTTTTATCGGGTTGCCAATTCATTTTCGTTGAGATCCATGAACACAATATCATCCGTACAATGGCACCAAAAAGCATGTAGAATGCAACCTTGGGACCGGTGATCACTCCCTGACCAACGGATCCGACAGAAAACTGTACATTCCATGGCCAGCTTTCCAGAGCTGTAAGACCAAATCGAGAGGTAATCAATGGTATAAGATGTCCCCCTAGCGTCTTGACTTCCGAAAAAAGAATCAGTCTTCGTGGCGAAAAAATGCAGAAATACAGATACACTGACCCATACCCCAGAGACCACAATAGAAACATTAAAAGCCCAGCTTGCCGTCTCTCGCTGATGTACCAAAGGGCTCGACCCACTGGGCTCAGTCACCATGCCACTGGAATCTGTTCCAGGATCACCTCTTTCTTCGAAGCGCGATCCGGTGAAGGTATTTCGAGACGTGGCTTTTGCATGAAATCTCTTTATCAAAATCGCTGTCGCGGTACCTGGTGGAAAGGGCAAGTCTTTGAACATGAGAAAATAGCTGCTACACGCCATGGCAAGGATCGGGCCAAAGACGCAAACACCAGCCGACCAGGTCAGAAGGCGGAACCATGGAATCTGTATAGGTCCGCCGTCTTCGGGTCCAACAAGATATTCTAACGCGGGAATGACCCCAACAAGTGCTGCAGTCATAGGCATCGCTGCCATTGCCGTGGCCACGGCCACCACGAAGACATTCTCAGGGACACCAAGCGGCGGGCCAAATTGGCAGGCGATGTTGTTAGCGATATATGCAGTCGCCAGAGGGAAACCAGTGACGCGACCCGTCTTCAAACCGAAATAGATGTTTATAAGGCATATGATTGTGCCGAGGACGAGGCCTATGGCAAGCCCGCGAAAAGTGAAAGTGGAATAGAGGAGCGGGTCTGATATAGGCGGGTGCTGCGTCAACGATTCGATCGTGTCTCTGGCAGTAGGAGTGTGGCCCAAAAGCGGCGTAGCCTCAGATGTGGTGACCGAGTTATGCACGGAGCCACCCTGCGGATTGGGCAAGTTATCAGATTTAGAATGCGAGCGTTCCTGCTCTGCTTCCACAGGGAACATTGTGTTAAAGATGAACTATGGATGCTCACACGAAACTGGAGCTGAGGCCGCCACTCGAGACTGTCTGAGATGCTTTACCATTCCAGTAGTAGCTTACTTTTATCTTATGCAAAATGAAAACTATGTATGTATAGATATAAAGAGCGACTTGTCGGTGGAAAAGGGGTGTTTCGGCCCATCTACTATGGTATGAGGCAGAAATTATGTTCGCTCGAGGCTGGCATGCCGCATCTTTGACCTGTAGCAGACCTCATACTACAAGATAGCCCAGCTTAAATCAGCTTAGCGGTATTTATATAGCTCATGCTAAGGGACAATGCTCTTTGAAGAGAGCGTTTGCCCTCTCAATACCGTTGTATGCAGTGTGCATGATATTTGTCTGAGCCTTATCTAATACCGAATTTTAGATTCCTTCAACTTTTGGAAAGGAGTTGCCAAGAATTTACAATACTAGTACTAGTACTAGTATTGTGAGTGTCATCAGTTTATCACAAATCAAAGTAAACATCCTGATTGGGAAATACAAGGGTTATGAAGCTCCACCCTCTTTAACCCGCTTCTCAGCATCGTTGCAATGGCTGGGACGCGATCTGGACGTTCGGCAAACAGGAAAAGCACCCCCCTATCCCCACCGAGACAGCACACAACAGAGCCTGCCCGAGATGCTCGACGTTCGACAAGACGCAGAGCTGAGGATGTTTGTACCTCGACAGAGAGGGCCCTACGAGGGGCGAGTGTGGGGAGCGAGGCGAGTGTGGTCAGTCGCACAACGCGCAAACAAAGAGCAGCCGCCGGGCCAGCATTGAGTAGGTGGATAACGCGTCAGACTGCGGTCAGCACCTGACATTTTACTTTAGAGCTCTCACCTCTACACGAAGCACTGGATGTTAACGGTTCAGACTCTACATCTCAGATCAGAAGGGCCGCGCATCAGGAGGAGACTGCGGATGAAGAATCGGATGGAACGAGCGCGTTTACTACAAAATCTCACCACGAAGACATGATCTTTGGGCTAAAGGCGCTCTTCGTCGACTCGGAACAGATAGTCGATTTCCTGAACAAAAAAGATTTCTCAGATATGCTTGTGGTGAGAAGCTTTCAGCAGCTCAATTCGAGAGGATCTGAGAAGCTGCGTAGGCTCTTGTCTAGGCTCAGAGATAGTTGCGAGCCATTTGGGAAATGGGAACTCAATGATCCCGTTCCTTTTAATTTGCAGGACATCGTTCGCAAAATACTCGGGGCCAGGTATTGGCAGCAGGTTGGCATTGGTCAATGGCGGCCTGATGCAATTTTCCAATTAGCGAACTTGGCGAACTTTGCGGCGGCTATTCTAGGACCCAGTGCTACGAGCGGCCAGGAATCTGGAGTCTTGAACACGATGTTGGAACAGTTTCCCTATCCCTTCACGTATGGATTCGAAGAGCCCATTGAGGGCCCGTTGAGGAAAGGTTACAGCAGTCTTCTTGAGGAAACATTCGTAGTTGGCTTAGAGATTCGAACGCAGCTCGCCATTGCGCTTTTTGTGGAGAGAGAGTCGAAACCAAATTTCGATCCTGATGGTGTCCTCGACGAGGTCTTTTTCACTGAAGACGATGAAAAATCTAAACGATTTCGGAGCTTCAATGCTGAAGGGTTATGCATTCAAGAGAGAATTCTACCCAAAAGGTTCGAACGTCCGGTTTCCCAAAGAATACAAGCACTGCGAGAACATTTTCCAGATAACATTGAAGGCATGGTAAACATCAGATCGCTTAAAATATCATTCCCTTGGGAGAATTTTCTCAGCCAGACAATGTCCTGGGTGCAGGCAAGAGCGGATGAATTGATTCAGCAGATAGAAAATCAAGGCGGCGTCAATAAAATTCAACAAAGTCTTCAGGAAAAGGCCAATAGTGCGCGAAACCTAAGGCTGCACGATGTTGCAGAGGACTGGCAGAGAGCACTGCCCGGCGCTAACAAAGCAGTCGCAAGTTTACAAAACGTGCCGCCGGTTTCGCGACCAGCACTCCCTCTTGATAATTCGAAGCCGGTAAAGCCCATCAGAAAATCCTTGAGAGAGGAGGCTCATCGATTCAAAGAGCTGAAGGCGCTTGTAGCGCAAGAATCGGCAGCTGCAGAGGGTGTGGCAACTGCGACAGCGCTCGTGGAAGAAGAGCTCGAAGGAAGCCCTTCTTTGGGAGCTAATTTCGAAGATGCGCCTGTTTCTACTGCGAGGGAGCTACTCCTTGATCAAAACATCGACCTAAGTCTCACCAAGGAAATTTTCACGTCAGACGAAATGAAGAGGAGAGAAAGTAACAAGGAAAACATTGACATCAGATCACGTCCAAAGACCTTCGTCGATCGCCAGGAAAATGCCCAGAAAGTTCCTTGGGGCGACGAGAGTCAAGAAACGTTCTCAAGTACTCCAACGAACAGGGCTACATCACGAAAACGCCCACGCACGCAAACTCAGGATGCTGATGACAAGGAAGACGACTTCGAGAACAGATGGCCAGCTAATCCCAATAAACGTAGGAAAGAAATACGCGACAAGACTGATCAGCGGAAAACTAGCGGACGTGCTCCAACAAAGCGTAATAGATCCAAGATTTCAGAATCAGTGCTTTCAGTTGTAGGCACCGAAGACGACACAGAGTACGAGGCAGACAGAGACCAAGCCGCTACCGACCAGCAACTCGCCGACATAGGCGAAGGTACTAGCCCTTTGCGGTCCTCCCACCGGCCCCCTCCATCCCATCAGCCTCCCCGACGTACCGCCCCTAGATCAAGCAATACCCACACCGACAGCCCGCCTGCCTCCTCCGCACCACCACCAAGCACAGCTCAGCAGCTCGAATTCATGCGAGCACGGGCACGAGATCCTACCGTGGCCATGAAACCACGCAAACTCCAAACGCGCACTCCCTACACTCCGGCAGAGGAAGCGCGTCTCATCGAACTGATCGAAGAATATGGCACCAGCTATACGCTGATCAAGCAATTGGATGAGCAGCATGAGGATGGGCCACTCCTGTTGGAGAAGAGCCAGGTACAGCTTAAGGACAAGGCACAGGAGTTAAAGTTTCAATTTCTGAAGTCAGTGGTTCCAATATTCCGGGTCTCCCTACTGCTCTATGCGTGTTGCGTATTAGAAGAATTGTGGCTGACCTGAGCATGTGTCTTACAGGACGGGTGCGCCGTTACCGGCGAATTTCGACACAATACCACTCCGGAACAGGTTGAAGGAGCAGCTGGAGGCTTTGGGGGTGGTTGGTGGCTGATTTTGTTTGGTCCGGTTTATACTCGTGCCACTGTAAGGGCGGTGCGCTTTTGGTCATGCAGTTCTTTGGAGTGATGCTGTGCTCATGATACCCCCTGTGTGCAATGCTTCATCAGATAAGTCTTTCGGAGGTCAAGTTTCGGTGGAGATTTGCACATAAAGTGTTCACCGTCTGCGGTATGATGAGCGGCGGCGTACTTTGATCGGACTTGCTACCTGGAGAAGACAGCCCTAAGCAGCACGCAGCTGTCACTACCAAGACTAACAGAATTTGTCGCATCTATCGAATGACAATGAACGGAGAGGAAGAAGCTCTACATGATCCAAGCTTTCGATAGCTTATTGAGCATGACCTCTCCATTGCTTATACTGTCTATACTATACATTCCGCAGGAACTTCTTGCAACTGAATGCTTGTTCACGTTCATTTCCTACCCGTTCATATCGTCTTCCCAATAATGTGTGCAATATCACCATCCAAAAGCATTTGTGGCCCCGGCTTCTTTTCTCTCTGATCTCAAACCTCATGCAATGCTCTCCGTATGTAGGCCACAACTAGTAATGTCTTCGTCGCCTGGTTTCAAACCATCATGTCTGCAAGATCTCTGAGGTTTGTGTCGGACTTCCTCCCCAAAGGGATCTCAGATGAGCCTTATTGTGATGACGCCTCGCACACTGCAGTTGATGACGAGGCTGAGGCCGCAAGAGCCTGCACGAGGTTCAGAACCAGGATCTGGCTGAAGAATATGGGTGTGTATAAGCGTTGGAAGGATGGGTCACCCTGAGAGGAAATGCCATCGAGACGGATTGATGAGGACTCTATCCAATCTTGGCTACGAGGTACGGGTGTAATGAGCAGGAAAGAAACGGTCCAAGGAGGCTGCAGTAAATCTCGACTAAGTAGAAGCAGTGCAGAGTTGGGACACTTGGATCAGAGGAAGGGGAAAACGTGTAGGAAGCACCACTCTTGAGCACACATTGGGATGGTATATATCCATCTTTAGACCACGCACATTCAGAGATTTAGATTAATAGATCAGTTTCGTTGGTGATGGCACAGGGAGGGGAGCATAGTGTTGCGACGTCCAAGAAAGGGGGGACACCAATTTATGGTCCACATTCTGGATAACGTCTCACTGTAGTAAAATCTGCGATCATTGCAAACCTCGTGAATGATCTGTAGAAGCCATGAGAGCTGAGACGGAAGGGCAGGCGGATTGTCACCCAACCCATCATAGCTGACCCGGAATCTTCGTGCCCACTTGAAAGGCGTCAAATCTGCCGGACCACATTCGGTGGAAGACATGAACGAAAGCTATGCTGTAGCAGAAAGCCTTTTCGTAAGCTGGTGGCACAAAATAATTCATATAAGGTGCAGCATGTCTGAGTGGGCTAAGATGGGGATCTTGGAATATCAGTACTACTAGTATTAGGTGTTGACCAGACTGAGCGGCAATGGAAGTAAGTGCCGTTCTGAGCATTGTCTTGCATTGCAACATGTCGTCAAGATCAGTCTTACAACAGATTGATGGGGAACTGCTATTTCAATCATGATACGGAGTACTCCAGAGTCTTTCCTAACTAGCGTAAGACAAAAAAAACAGAGAGTAACTACAGGTAGTTAGCACTACGGGATACACCGTAATCTCCGAGCGAGCAACAACGATAAATTTTCGGAGCAAGAATAATCCGATCCCGAGATAAAATTTCGGAACAAGATAATCCGGTCCCGATGGATGTTAGCGTCGGCTGTTGTGATCCAGCTTGTCCAATTTTCAACTCTCTCCCTGCCCGAAAAGATCCTACTCTCCATCCGCAATTCACAACAGTTGAGCTTCCATCAACTTGCCTTTGTTTTCTACCTACATCTCCACTTCATACAAGTGCCGTGAGCATCACCGCAAAGATGTCGAAAGCGGAGGGTGAGATCAATCAGGCCAAGAAGAGTTTTATGTGAGTCCTGCGACCGTGTCAAAGAAATTCTGAGAACCTACCGCTGACAAGAATGCGAATAGGGGGATGCCTGGGTTAGTTCAGCTCTCTTGCATTCTGTGTAGCTGCTCCTCGCCCAGTGCTCGACAAAGCTGGCTGCCGATCTTCCACTATGTGCTTGAGTTGTCGAGCGTTAAATTGGGGTCGCAAGCTGGCAGACTTTCTTTTTCGCACATTTTCCATGCAGGCTAACGACAGAAACTCAGCTTTATGGTAGATTTCCTGAGTAAGTTCCGTGAAGCCAGCTTCAATTGATTGTGCTGATACCTTATCGCAGTGGGTGGTGTCGCTGCCGCTGTATCCAAGACTGCCGCTGCTCCTATTGAGCGTGTCAAGCTCTTGATCCAAAATCAGGTATGATAACTGCTGTAGTCCCTCGTCCATCTCTACGTTCCTTCGTCCGTTGTGAACACTATTTCGCTGCATACAAGTCTCGGAAGCGACACTTTCAGCTCTCTTCGACACCCAGCCGCCCTTCACCTCGAGCACCACTAATACAAGGATTAGGACGAAATGTTGAAGGCTGGCCGTCTCGATCGCAAATACAGTGGTATCGTCGACTGCTTCAGCCGTACAGCTCGGTCGGAGGGTATGCTGTCCCTATGGCGAGGCAACACTGCCAACGTTATCCGATACTTCCCTACCCAAGCTCTCAACTTTGCCTTCCGCGACACCTACAAGTCAATGTTCGCTTTCAAGAAGGAAAGAGATGGTTACGCGAAGTGGATGGCTGGTAACCTGGCCTCCGGTGGTATGGCCGGTGCCACTTCTCTGCTGTTCGTATACTCGCTCGACTACGCTCGTACCCGTCTCGCCAATGATGCCAAGTCAAGCAAAGGAGGTGCTCGTCAATTCAACGGCCTGATCGATGTCTACAAGAAGACTCTTGCCACCGATGGAATCGCCGGTCTGTACCGTGGCTTTGGTCCCTCCGTTCTTGGTATTGTTGTCTACCGTGGTCTCTACTTCGGCATGTACGATTCCATCAAGCCTGTTCTCCTGGTTGGTCCTCTCGAGGGTAGCTTCATCGCATCTTTCCTGCTTGGCTGGGCTGTCACCACTGGTGCTGGTATCGCTTCTTACCCTCTGGATACCATTCGTCGTCGCATGATGATGACTTCTGGCGAGGTGAGTGACCCACCACTCCGCGTGTGTGGAAAAGGCTAACGCTCTCCCCAGGCTGTGAAATACAAGGGTTCTCTAGATGCTGCACGTCAGATCATGGCTAAGGAAGGTATGCGATCATTTTTCAAGGGCGCTGGTGCCAACATCCTCCGTGGTGTCGCCGGTGCTGGTGTGCTCTCCATCTACGATCAAGGTTTGTTTATCTGGATCCCCAGTCTACACGCATCACCTAACGCTGCTTAGTGCAACTCCTCCTCTTCGGCAAGGCCTTCAAGGGCGGCTCTGGATAGACCAAGATCGCTAATTTGAGCATCACAATGGGGAGATTAAAGGCGGTCGGCTGCTGCTGCATGCTGTGGCGCAGGGCAGAGATGAAAGTTGCAGCGGGCAACAGGAGGAGAAGCAGTTGATAATTCCGTCTTGAGCGCTTTGCGGTTGAGGATGCCGGTGAAGGTGGAACATAGAACATGGCATCATCAAACGTTGGGCCTTAGGCATAGAGCGCAGGTGGAGGGAGGGTCTCCTTGTACCAATTGTACTTTACTGCCTTGGCACTTGTTTTCCAGCTGTATCTTTGTCTACTCCTTACGAGCATCCACCACAACGGTGTGTTGCGTCCTTGATGCGTAATTGTGCTCTTGGGTGTTGTGGTACCATACTGGTGTCAGCGGAGGCTCGGGCAGGCCAGTACTTCGTAAGTACTCCGTCGATTGTGCCAACCGAGAACCCCCTTTCTCCACCACGTACTCCACCGGAGTCTGGAATCCTAGCCTTGAATCCTGGCCGTGCACTCGAGACAACAGATCAATAAGGAATGGTCGGCATTAGGGCCATCGGGTATGCCGTTTGCGCATGTGCAGCTGGCTGCATGACGTGTTTGCGGAGGGATTCGCATTCTCAGCAAACATCCCTTTGTTCCATTAAAATAGGTAATCCGTGAGTACAAGACCAAAACGTCAAGATACTTGGTTCCTACCTTTCCATTGTCTCCTTTGCGTACTCACTCTGTCCCTGACAAGTTGTCTTGCTGTTGCTTTGATCGTGTGTGCACATTTCCACCCTCCAGCGATCACCCCATGGCGGGCGTAACTGTCCACACCACATCTCCTATTCATCCCAATGGTGCAACCACACCAAAGGGGGCAAGTCCTAGTACTGCAGCAGCGCGATATTCGCCGCCTCACTCGACCCGTCGATCTTCGCAAAGCCCTACACCAGTGACCTCAAATCCCGCTGTCCTCCCGTCTCCTACATTTGCATCAGCTCAGCCGGGCTCCACCGCTGGTCCCGCTCCGACAGGGCAGCCCCCTTCTCCCCTAACTTCACTGCCTATACCAACAGCTACACTACCTGCATTAAGCACTCGAACAACTTCCTCACCGCCTTCACCACAGCCAGGTGCAGTACCGTCACCATCGTATTCTGAAGCAAGACGAGCATCCATTCCTCCTCCTCCAAAAGCGGGTGAGGTTCCCAAGCCTGCGGCATATTACGCTCCACAGTACGATGGCAATACCACCTCTACCTCGTTCCAAAACCTGTCTCTGAATACTTCTGTGCCTCCATTACCTACGCACCAGACACAAGGTACAGTGCTGACGCCAACAAGGGCGCAGCCTCCACCTGCAGTCACTGCGCATGCCACAACAACAAGCATAACGCAAGACCTCTCACATCCACCTGGCTATGTACAAGATTCTAGGGCGTCCTTCTCTGAGCGACCTCCTGAGCTTATCTCGCCCCTGAATCTGAACCAGAGCGGTCACGATCGACGCAAGTCGAGAAGCGGGATCGGAATTCTGGATGGTGGAGGAGGTCATGAGGACATAGGAGACGAAGACAAGGGGCTGTGGGATACCGCAATCTCGTGGGCCAAAACCGTAGGTGAGAAGGTGATCGAGGGTGAGGAGGAGATGTGGAAGAGGATCAATCGCAAAACATAGAGACATCTGCCATGCCAACCCAGCAAAGAAGATGACAGCGTCACGGTATCTGCCGTCAACTTTGGCGAGCAGCGGCGGCAACTCGGAAGATTGTCCAGGTCATGAGGTCTGTCTGTGAACAAGGATAAAGAAGGCTGAAGTGTTGCAACCTCACCAGATCCAAAGCCTCGGTTTCAAACCTCTGTGATCCAGTCGAAGGACTCCATGTATCGATCCACGACTGCAGATATTGGCCAGCCACGTTGCAAACTACGTCGCCTTCCTGACAGGAAACAATTGCACATGGCTACACCCTCTTTGCACTGTTCATCTACCAGATTTCCAATTGATAACTCCTAGAAATTGCATTACTCCTTGCTCCATCTTTCTTCACCGCCACTGTCTGCCCTCTCCATGTTCACTCGTTCCCCCCGCCAATTGCGGACTTTCGTAGAGTGGTATCACTGTATTCCATTTATCAATCAACTTGAAGCTACCTTTCCTCAAAGACATACTGTGCTACAACACTACTGATGAAGAGAGCAAGCATTGGTAAATCACCATGCTATCAAACAATGGACAATGGTGAAGGGATGTGTTCTTAACACCGCACCCGAACTAATTACCGAATGGATATATTGTTTACATCTTGCACAGTATCTCACACCACCTCCCTTAGCTCAATTGGATCAAATTACCTCCGGGGTAAAAGACGTTTGAGTTACGGGTTCGACCACCAACAGTCAGGAGTTCGAATACCGCCAATGCTACCGACCGAAAGCATTATTACTCCTCCTCTCTCAATTCGAATTACGACACAAACAACGACACTACGACAAAAGTAGAATCTACTCAGGTCAAACTACCATCGGGGTAGCAGGCGGTAGATTCTCCTTTTGCTCTTTGCGAGGACAGTGCTGCTTAGGCATGTGTTTGAGTGTTCTTGATTTTTGTACTTCACTTCGCTATTGGATGAGCATGTCAGTTCAAAATGATTGGCCAAGCGCCTACTATACTGTCTAGCGTTCCCTCGTTATGGTGTAGCCCTTCCTAAACTACTATAATACATGATGCCGCAGAAAAGGGACACATCAACCACTCCGCCAAAAGACGGCGCCGATGGGTTTTGAGCCACACTTAACTGATGTACCCCTCACTGACTGCTGCCTCACGCAATGATGACAATGTTTAGCAAAGTACTAGTGGGGTTATCTGAAGATTTGGGAGAATATGACTCCTCTTTGGGCCGTCCAAGGGAAACCCCGCTTTAGAGTATCGTTCAAAGAACTCTACTGCAACGTTTACCTTTGGGAAACGAAAGCCAAGAAGAAGCTATCAAAGATCCGCAGCAGGTAGTTGGTTGATAAAATCAGCAACACCTATGCTCTATCGCTTCAAGAAGTGAAAAGCACTATTGAGAGAGTCTTTGGCTTCAAAGCTAAATATGGCTCTTCCTAAATTAGGGAGAATCACTTTCTATCTAACTCAGGCACTGATCTTGGGAAGGATACGCTAATACTGAAAGCGAATAAGTCAGTGAGGCATAGACGAAAAGGTCAAGTCAAGGAAGATGACGTCGATTTGAAGGAAACGGCAGCGGTGTGGAGCAGTGTCAGCTCTATGCATGAATTTTGTGTGTGTGTGTGTAGCTACTAGAAATCTAAATATAAAAGTTCAGATTAAAAAACTCCGCAGACACTAAGGCTCTACAGCAGTGGAAGCTGGTCAAGACTAATAAAGAGGAACTTGCTTTGACCGTGATAGAAAATTCAAAGCCTCCTAGAAAACTTAATCGATAAAGAAAAAGGACCGGGACCAGCAAATGCACACTATATGCCCCAAGGCCATCGTTTGCAATACTGGGCTCGCCTAGGACTCCGCCCTGTGTGCTATATGTCTCAGGTATCTCCGGCTGTTGATCATTATCCTGCGTTGTCTGTTTTCGTAAAGATCATTGTTTACCCTGCCACAGCGCCGAGCATGGGCAAGAAGGCTCTTCGTTGCGTCTTCGACTTTACCATCGGACTAGATAGAAACCCAAAAGTGATGATGGTAGGATCGTCTTGCGCCGGAAACATCAGAGAAATATCGCATATGCCATCCCGAACAATGCTCTGAGAAGTCTTCTTCTTGATCTTTTTCTCATTCACCTCATTCGGAGTTATGGACTGCAGACTTTTCGTGCAGAGTCTGTTTTGACCGCAAAAATTAGGCTTATAGCCGTGGGGAATCCATTCGTGGTCATTTCCAATTGGAAGTCCTCTCATCTCTGTCAACCGATTGGATGAATCAGAGACACAGTCCCAACGTTCGCCATAAAACCTCCTCAAATCCTGGAAAAGACAACTTAGAGCACCTTTCGGGCATTCTTGTAGGTAACATAGATCAGATCCAGCAGATGAGTGGCATCTGAACAGTTCGCCTGCGTTTTTACAAAATATGACCTGCGAGTCCTTCGCATCAGCAAGAGCCTGCCAGCTTTTGATAGACCCTTCGATCAGTAGCGACCTTAGCTGTTTTCTCATTCCACAAATTGCTTCGTTCAAATTGTAACCAACCAGGTGTTCCTTTATCTCATGCCTGTTTCCGGTTGTGTCGTTGAAACACACATCGTCAGCGTCTGCCATCTCGAACCATGTTTGTGTTACAATGTCCCCAAATCTTATTTCATCGTTGACCCTTACGTTATCGGCTTTGTCTATTAGTAAAATTTGGTTTTCACGTAAAGCAGATAGAGCGGAGCTTGTGGTATTCGACGATTGGGTCGCGTAGCGAATTGTGGCTGCGCCAACCTGTCCGTTTGCTTGCCCGTTCTTGAATGAGATTCTTTTCCATCTAATGTAGCGCAGTGATGCAAAAAGCAAAACCGAGACAGCAGAGACAAGCCAGGCTCTACGAGCAGTTTCATCCCATAGTATGCAAGGTGTAGCTGTGGCTGAATCCAGAACACGCTCAAAGTTCCCCTTCCTTGTGCGTCTGGTGATAACAGTGGCCTGCTTGAACTTCTTCTCCCATTTCCTCCCGCCAGACACGCCAGCACTGGATCCCAGGAGACCAAGGCGGGCGAAAAATGACACGTCATTGCTTGAAGCTCTTTCCGCAGATTCTTCAAGCTTTTTAACGGTTAGCACACCAGAAGACATGCTGATGTGGTCAGCTGGAGTCGTATCTGACTCCACGGTGCCGATTGTAACAACAGGAGTGACGCACCAACCAACATGGACATATCCATTTCGGTATTCGGGGCCTACTTCGCCTCGGAATCGACTGCCCACAAAATTTCTCTTCACACGTCCAGGTGTGATTTGCCTCCCCTTAGTCAGCAAGAAATGCCAAAGTCTGCTTTCTGGGGGTTCCAGCGGGATGAGAGCTGTATCAAAGCCAAATAATAAAACACCATCCTTTGTGAGTATCTCCCGATCGACAGCAGCCAACTCAAGAAGAAGATTAAATTCTATCTTGAGGCCTTCTATTCCAGGATGGTGCAAGTACCGCTCTGAAGGAGAGTGGGCGATGCAGGCATAGTTAAACATTTCTGTCCAGCAATAGGACTCGGTTCTAGTTGGCTTGAATGGACGGATATTAGGCAGCTCGAAATCCGAAGATGCTGCCTTCCAAGGAAAAAGCCCTTTCAGACCCAGCGGCCTACTTTGCAAGGCAGATAACGTCCAAATAAGAGCAGCTTTGACGTTCAATGCAAAGTTCCTGGAATTCGAGGATATTGTCCATGACAATTTCGTCCGACGAAGGTTACCTCGGATCCTGGCAAATGCAACGGCCCCCATTTTCATATGCTGAACTGAAGTGAAATCTGTTCCCTCAGCTAAGATCGAGCCTGCCACGACCGTTGAGACGTATTGTTCGGACAACCCATATACCTCAGCTTGTGAAGGATATCCACCCTGCACCCGGGATGATCTACAGAGCTCCACAATCCAGTTCAGGATCTCCAATCCAAAACCTGGGTAAAACTGATCCAGAATCTCTGAGACAGATCTTGCTATGAAACAGTGAGCTTGAGAGTCAACTCTTATTATCATAAGACTACCATACCACCTATATATAATGCCTTCGCAATCATAGGTGTCCAAGCCATTCCAGGAAATCTCTCCATCAACCTTAAAAAACCCTGTAGGTGATAGTGAACGCAGAACTATCTCTTCTGAATCAGATTGAGCGGCATCATGAAGCGTTATCCGTCCATCTTTTTCAACTGTCTTGATGGTTGCACCCTGGTTGATAAGCATCTCAATAACGCATAATGCATCTTTAGAGCCAGATTGAGTGATATCATGAAGGGGTGTCTGTCCATCTTTGTCAACTCTCTTGATGTCTGCACCCTTATTCATAAAAATCGTTATGACTGATCGTACATCTTCAAAGCCAGATTGAGCAATATAATGAAGCGGTGTCCGTCCATCTTTGTCAACTGCATCAACGTCTGCACCTTCTTCAACAAGAACCTTAATAATCGTTAATGCATATTTAGAGCCAGATCGAGTAGCATCATGAAGTGGTGTTCGTCCATCTTTGTCAATTGCGTTAACGTTTGCATCTTTGCTAACAAGTCTCGATATAATCGATGATACATATTGGGAGCTAGATTGGGCAGCATCATGAAGTGATGTCCGCCAATCTTTATCAACTGTCTTAATGTCTGCACCCTTGTTAAGAAGCATGTTAATAATCCATGCTGCATATTTGCCCTTAGGGTCAGATCGTATAGCATCATGAAGTGGTGTCCGTCCATCTTCGTCAACTGCATTAACATCTGCACCCTGTTAGAGGATGTAGCAAATAGCGTACGGAGATACCAATTGAATTGATTGAGTTACTCCTATCAAGAGGAGTATTTGCTCATACTAATAGCTATAGAAGCGCATTACTGTAACAGCTCAGAAACAGCATTTGGCGTTCAATTCGTATAGCAATGCTCACTGCCATAAATAACAGGGCGTATTGCCCGTTCCAAAAGTGTTGCAATTCCTTGGCGCGACCCAAAAATTGCTGTGCTGGCGGAGCAGAATTGCTGTGAGGGTGTAGAATGGCTATTTACCACTGAATTATCGTAGTAGAATGCCCAAAATGGCCCAGATAGTAAACTAGACTCTCTTGTGACTTCAATATTGTAATTTTGAGATAGAAAACTATGGTGTTGAATTGTAAGAAGCGTTTGAATGTAGAAATAACGTCTTTGTGACGTAAATAGAGATATTCTGTCAGCCTTTATATTATTAGTAGAGAAGGAGGATCTCAAGGAGGGGGATCTCAAGAAGGAGGAGGTCAAGGAGGAGGAGGTCAAGAAGGAGAAGGTCAAGAAGGAGGAGGTCAAGAAGGAGAAGGTCAAGAAGGAGAAGGAGGATCTCAAGGAGGGGGATCTCAAGAAGGAGGAGGTCAAGAAGGAGAAGGTCAAGAAGGAGAAGGAGGATCTCAAGGAGGGGGATCTCAAGAAGGAGGAGGTCAAGAAGGAGAAGGTCAAGAAGGAGAAGGAGGATCTCAAGGAGGGGGATCTCAAGAAGGAGGAGGTCAAGAAGGAGAAGGTCAAGAAGGAGAAGGAGGATCTCAAGGAGGGGGATCTCAAGAAGGAGGAGATCAAGGAGGAGGAGGTCAAGAAGGAGAAGGTCAAGAAGGAGAAGGAGGATCTCAAGGAGGGGGATCTCAAGAAGGAGGAGATCAAGGAGGAGGAGGTCAAGAAGGAGAAGGTCAAGAAGGAGAAGGAGGATCTCAAGGAGGGGGATCTCAAGAAGGAGGAGATCAAGGAGGAGGAGGTCAAGAAGGAGAAGGTCAAGAAGGAGAAGGAGGATCTCAAGAAGGAGGAGGTCAAAGAGGAGGAGGATTTCAAGGAGGAGGAGGATCTTTCTAATATTCTCCTTCTTATAGATATCCTCTTTCTTGATCTTCTTCTCCTTTTTGACCTCTTCCTCCTTGACCTCTTCCTCCTTGACCTCCTCCTTCTTGAGATCCCCCTCCTTGAGATCCTCCTTCTCTACTAATAATATAAAGGCTGACAGAATATCTCTATTTACGTCACAAAGACGTTATTTCTACATTCAAACGCTTCTTACAATTCAACACCATAGTTTTCTATCTCAAAATTACAATATTGAAGTCACAAGAGAGTCTAGTTTACTATCTGGGCCATTTTGGGCATTCTACTACGATAATTCAGTGGTAAATAGCCATTCTACACCCTCACAGCAATTCTGCTCCGCCAGCACAGCAATTTTTGGGTCGCGCCAAGGAATTGCAACACTTTTGGAACAGGCAATAACAGTTACAAGAGCGTTTCGTGCGTTTTGCATGCGGGGACCTTGTACCATCATGCTAGTACGTAACAGATACGTATCATAAACGCAGGGATTCTAACACTCCCTCTCAGGGAGCATTGTAGTATTCTGAATTACCCGTTTGGGACTCTGTATAGAGTATCAGAAGGTGAGCTTTGTTTCGTCAGCAAGAGCCTCAATAAAACCTAGAAAAACCCTGTGAGAGAAAATAGGAAAGAGCGTCTCTTTTTGCTGTGCAAGTGCCATAGTCGTACGAGGTCTGGGGATTATCCTTTTCGGATTCTAGATAGCTGGCTTGGTGTTGAGCTGCAGCAGTTCTATGAACCGATTGAATTTGACTCTCGGAAGTGGCTTTGTGAGGCCGTCGGCGGCTATATCCTCTGTCGGAAGATGCTTCAGCTGGATGAGTCCTTCTTCTACTAATTCTCTTTGATAGTGGTACGTTATAGCAATGTGCTTGAGCCTACTGTGGTACTCTGGATTTCGTGCAGTTGCTTGAGCGCCCTGATTGTCCGCAAATAGCGTTATTAGAGTGCTATAAGGGATAGAGAGTTCTGTTAGAAAGTGACTGATATAGACTATATGCTTTATAGCGTTAAATTAACTAATATACTCTACTTCTGTGCTAGAGATCGCAGTTGCTGTTTGACGCTTTAAGGACTAAATAATTAGCGCGCTAGCAAGGTATCTTACATAGCCAGAGGTTAATTTTATCTTATCTTGCAGAGTAGGGCCTGTAAAGTCTGAATCTGTATAGAAGATAGGCTCTGAATTCCCTATTCTAGAGAATTTGAGGCCATAGCTAAGCGTTCTGCAGATATATCAAAGAACCCTCTTAGCTATACCTATATAGATAGTCTTTAGCCTAGCTAGAAATCAACTTAATAGTGATACAAGATACGTTAGATCAGGCCAAGTGCCTTGTATTCTATATATAAGGCTTCTAATAATTAATTAATACTTAAGCTTATTACTTAGAGGCAGCAGATCATTGTTATTTACATCTATAGGGATTCGAGTACTATCCTGTATAAGCGTAAATCGCAGATTTGCGTTATCTATGCTAAAACAGCGTAGAACCTTCTCAAAATAGCTCTTTTAAGATAGAGTAATAGAGTCGCTATTCCGTATAATTTGAATGCTGAGATAATCTTCTGTAAGGCCTATATTCTTAATCTTATAACGTTCTCTAAACTTGCGCTTAAATTCAGCTATAGCTTCTAAAGTTTAACCTATTATTAATAGATTATTTACATAGATAACTATAATCAGGTCATCTCTATAAAAGATAAAATACTTATAAACTATTCGCTTAAATCCGAACTCTTTAAGCGTTAAATAAAGCGTTCTAGCCTAAATTTGTAAAGCTTGCTTAAGGCTATAAAGGCTCTTCTTAAGGAGGCTGCAGAAGGGCTTTTTTGACCCTCTTAAAAGTATAGCATTTAAAGGCAGTTTAATATAGATTTCATAGTCTATTTTGCTATATAGAAATGCTGTATTAACGTCAAGGCTTTCTATACTAAAGCCCTTAAGCACAGCAAGTACTATAAACGTTTAATATAACTCTGCTTATGCTATAGCAGCGAAGGTCTCTTGGTAGTTAATTCCTTCAACTTGTTCAAAGCCTTTGACTACCTATCAGGCTTTGTATTGTTCATCGCGCTTTCGTATGTAGATGTATCTGCCACAGAGTATCTTCTGGTTAGCAGATACCTTAGTTTTAGGTAGAACTTGCCATGTTTTATTGCTTTTTAGAGCGCGTAGCTCCTTATCTGATACAGCCATTTATTCTTAGTAGTCAACATGTTGTTTTGCCTCCTTATACGACCTAGGAGCGTCTGATAAGGCTAGTGTTAACGCTAATAAAATATGTGTAAAAGAGATTTTATTAAAGAGTATTTGATTCTTATAAAGCTTCTATAAAGGTCTTAAATGCCTTCTTAGACGATATATTAGCTTAGAGATCCTCGCTTAATTTATCCTTAGATTTATAGGTTAAAACTCTGCATCCTTCGCTTTATAAGACCTTGATTCGCCCTTAACGCTAGCATAATTATCTATAAGGTTATTAATATTTGTAAATGTAGAGTTTTAATCTATATAAGAGGCACGCTAAGGATCCTTGTCAGGTTTAGGTCTTAAAACTGTAGTTTCAGAGCTTAATCTACTAGTGTTTATTTCATCATCTCTGTTTCTATATATATCCTGAGCTATTTCAGCTTCTGTAGATGCTATAGGAGTTATTTAAGCATCTATAGATGCTATAAGAGTTTCTTTAGGCTGTTCGGATGTCTTATATAGTTCCTTAATGTATCTAGTATCAGATTTATTAATTTTAATATCTCTTGCCTAGATAATTCTATCTATTTAAGGGTCCTAAATTCGATATTAATTTGTTTCTTTATAGCTTATAAGCCGCCTTATAATTATAACGCTTTATAGCTTATACTCTCTAACCTCTTTAGGGATTAATACTATTGTTCTAAAGCTAATAGCTCTTAGATGAGCAAGGTAAGGCTTCCTGTTATACAGGATTTTATAAAGGGTCTTGTTTAGGAGTCTATAAGGCCGAATTGTACAGAGATAAGTTATTGCTATAATAATTTCGTACTATAACTTATATAGTAGATTAGTTTCTGCTAGAACGCTTTAGATATAGATTAGAATGTCCTGATTTATACGTTTAGTTACTCTATTTTAATTATAAGCATAGACTATAGAGTATTACACCTCTATACTATAGTATTCCTAAGTATTATTTATCTTAATAAATTCTCTACTGTTATCTGTATAAATCCTCTTAAGTATAGCTCCTAAGATTTATTTCTTAATCAGGGCAAGCCACTTAGGTTATATAGCTTTAATAGACTTCTTATAAAGACTATAGGACCATATATATTAAGAGTAATTGTCTGTAATTATAAAGAGATATAAAAATTCATTATTAAGAGAGGGCATAGGCATCTTTATTAGATCTAAATAGACTATTTTAAGCGGAGTTTCTAAGCGCTTATTTATTACCTACTTTAAGAGAAGGCTTGCTTTTATTTAATCTATATCGCAGCTATTATAAGCTCTATAGTTAGCTTTTCTAATAGATATGCCAGTTGTTTAATTAATTATTTTGCGTACAAGGGCCTTGCTTACGTGCCTAAGTTGTCTGTAAGCTAGTTCTATAGAAATAGGCTTAGGTTTTAATTCTGTGTAGAAAATCTGCGGCTGTTCTCTTGTAAAGATAATTAGTAAGCTGTTTAAGGCATTTACGTAAGCTAATAGAGTCTCCTGCTTATATAAGTAGTGCCTTGTAGCATTTATGTAAGAGATATTATAATCCCTTAGGAGTCTATTAATAGACAGAATATTAACCTTAATAGAGGGTATATAGATAATATTCTTAAGCACAAAATTCATACTATTAAGAGATAGGTCAAATTTGCTACTGCTTATAAATTCGCTAGATGAGTTTGCTAAGGATACTATTATAGAAGTATACGAGTAGCATGCTAGGAGCTCCCTATAGGGCGTAAAATAATGTGTTGCTCTACTATCAAGTATTTATTAATTCTTAGCTAGAGAGAGATTAGAGCTATTAATTGTATAGCTTATATAGTTAACTTCCTCTGATTTGTCAGCTCCCTCTACTTAGGGGTCCTTTATTAGCTTCTTTATTCTGTCTGTAAATTATTATTTATTAAGGAAGTAAGAGTGCTTCTTTTGTTATCCTTCTAGCGTCTTCTCTAGGTGCTTATACTAGCAGACTTGGCCCTCCTTTAGAGCGTGCGTTTTGCTGCATTCAGAGCAATTTGACATCATTCTTTATTGCTTAGAGCGTCCACTTTAAGAGGTGTCATTTCGCTTCCTTTTGCCTGTTATAACATTTGCTATTAGTACAGGCTTCTTAGTATCTTTCTTAGGATCTTCTCTAAGCCTGTAAAGGGTAGTGTAAAGCTCCTCAGGGTCAGCAAGTTATGTTTTATTCTTATATTTCTTAAGGAACTTTAACTAATTAAAGGAAGAGTTAGAGTCGTTATTTTTACTCTAGAGAAGAAGAAGAGTTAGGAGAATTGTTAGATCCTAAGAGAAGCGTAGGTTATACGTCAAATAGTCATACGCAGTCTTGTAGGTAGTAATATACTGACGAATATCAGGATACTGCGAGCGTTAAAGGCTTAGGAGATTCTGGAGCGCTCGGAGTTGCTCTATTATGAGAGGAGCTGCGTACGCCTGCTCGAGGGCTTCCTATAGGGTCTTTAGAGTGGAGTATCTATTTATTTAAGTTAGAACGGCAGGAGATAGCCGTTTTATGATCTCAGAAAGGGCTATTTTCTCCTTATCTTGCCACTCGTTGAATTCCTTAATCTCTTCCTTGTAGTCCTTGTAAGCAGCATCCCATTGGTGCTGATTCCATCTATTAGTATCCAAGTCAAGATCTAATTGATCGAATTACTCTCGAAATCAAGCAAGAGTTATAGGGGCTTTTGTGCGGCCACGATTAACAGGAGGATCTGATACGATAGGACTCCACGCTTTGAGCCTATTCAGGCGTGCTTTCATGACTCTTGACCATGAGAAATAGTCCTTAGTACCCTTGAGAAGAGGGATACAGGCCTTTTTGTAGGAGGAGTCGTAGGAGGAGTCTATAGCGATCGAATTTGGCTGTACAGTACAGCAGAATTTGAGGCTAGGCCGAAAGTGGTAATATGAGG